TCTGTCAGGGTAGCGCAGAGCCCTGTGGGGATTGGCAGGCATGCCAGGTGTGCTCTCCTGCGAGCGCGGTGCCCCCGCCTGGCAGCTGTGTGCTGGCTACAGCCTTTGGGTCTGGCCTAGGCAGCTGTGCACCAGGAGGAGATGCTGGGTGGCTGCTGGTGGCGGGGCTGCTCCCTGGCCGCTCAGCCACTGCTGCCGACAGGTTGCATGGGCCGCTCAGCCACCGCTGCTGCCGGTGTGCATGGCCCTCTCCTGGGCCCTACTGGAGCCACCGCAGCTGGAGTGCGCAGCCGCTCTCCCACTACTGGGCTGGTGTGTTGTGGTCCGCGCCAGCTGGTGGAACGACTGGCAGGCTGCTTATCACTCTGAGGGGCTTCAGAGCTGCGTTTCCCAGAGGGTTAGGTCACCTAGAGTTCTCTGGGATTCTCAGCTGCTGGACTGAGTGTGCCAGGACAATTTCATCCAGCTATGAGGTCCCTGTCCCTTTAAGACTTTCAAAGAGCACTTGCTTTTTTTTTTGTCCCAGTGGAGTCAGTTGCGGGGACCCGCTCGCACATTTTGCTTTTCCATTTCTCTAATATCCAGCACACTGTGCACCGTATGTCTGCACTCCTGGTGCAGATTAGTAGAGTTGGTTGTTTAGCAGTCCTGGGCTTTCACTCCCTCCCTGCTCCAACTCCTTTCTTTCCGCCAGGGAGCTGGGGTGGGGGTGGGGTGCTCGGGTCCTGCCGGGCCATGGCTTGTATCTTACCCCCTTCATAAGGGGCTGAGTCCTTGATGTAGATGTACCTGGCTGTTGTACTGTATCCACTGGTCTCTCTTTTAGGAGTAGTTGTATTTGTTGTATTTTCAAAAATATATGTTTTTGGGAGGAGATTTCGGCTGAAGTACTCACACCGCCATATTGGCTCCTCCTTCAGAAAGCAGTTTTTAAACAATTTTGTCTTCTTGATAAGACAACCTCCAAGTACAACACATAATTAAACAACAAGCAAGAAAAAATTTGAGAGAAAATTCATTTCCTAAAGATATATGGTTTTCATTCATATTCAGGAGAGGAGACACATTTGAAAAATATGTAAAATAATAATGAGAGAGTATTATGAAGAATTTAATGCCTATAAGTAAGACTGTTTAATGAAACAGATGCATCCCATGAAAGATACATATTGTCAAAGTGCACTTGAGAAGAAATTAACTTAAGTAGCTCCACTGTGTCATTCTTTGGGCATTCATTTTTATGTCAGATGTCAAGCAACAGGTCTGTAAAAGGAAATGATTAGACTGTTCAATTCTCCCTATGCAAGAGATCAACAAATACCTTAGTGTTTCTCAGAAGGACCTTTGGTGACTTAGGACACTCTACACACCCTGTCTTTCTAAACCCCAAATTCATCGAGGCATATTTGAGGCTGATGTCTGCGTCAAGTGGAAAGGGCAAATATGTGTAAATTAAACTGAGTCAATAGTAACTTGACTAAGGTGTGCTTAGCTGAAAAAAACTTTGGGTACTACTACTTTGGGTGTTATCAAAGGTTATCATCTAGAAAACTAAACTTTAGAGTACTATCTAAACATCTAGAGTACTAAACTTTGGGTGTTATCAAAGGTTATCATCTAGAAAACTTTGGAATGGGGATTGGGGAATGGAGAATCTTTTTTGTTTCTTGGATTTGTAGGCTCTACAAATCTCAAGAGATTTGTATCTGATGTTTATTGGGGGTAGCATAACTAAAATGCACAATTCAAAATGTAATCTTTCTAGAACATCTTTATTTTCCAAATATGTAACAGAGTTGCTCATATACTTTCTTTCTCAAAATCTCAGTATTGGCGTGCCTCGTATGTTGCTCTGTTCCAAGGTTCTATATTTTGCTTGCCTTTGGCTTCAGCTCATTAAACTCTCTAAACTTACGATATAAAAACAAGATGGCTATTTATAAACTTGCCTCTCTCTAGTCATTCTCAAACCTACAGGGATAAATTTTAATTTTTACTCCATAATTTGAAAGTATGTTTTTTTGAAAAGCCACCATTTTGCATCTACATATCAATGTTATGTGGCAAGAGGAACTGAACCATTTAAAAATGTCAGGACGTGGAAATAGTTTAAGGGCAGCTACTAATCAAGAAACACTGGAGGCAGAGAAAGAGGGTTTAGAGTAATGAGAAAATGTAAGAGGCAACAGGAAGGATATTTCTACCATCTGCTAGTCATATGGCCTTGGCCATTTCAATTCTAAAATCTGTTTTTTGTTAGTGATGTAGGGATAAAAATACCTTCCCTGCTGATAGTTCAGGGAAATTGGATCAGTGGGTACAATAGTACTACAGAGATGCACAGAACTGCTTACATTTCTACCTTCAGCTCAAGGTGTTTATAGGTTTTAAAGCTGTGGGAAGGAAACAGCTTTGACCACACTTAGTTCCTAATTCAAAGTATTTGGAAAAGTTTTGGAGCTTGTTTAACCTTTGGAGACCAGTCTGTTTCTTTAGTCGCTTTGTAGACATTTTGAATCAAGTAGTGCAAAGTAGTCACAGAAGTTACTCCAGAAGTTGGTACCATTACCCAAGCAAAGAAGTTGCTACTGATAAAAGAGGAACCTTTTCTAAGGTTTCAGATGGAAGGATTCTAAAGGCCAGCAAAGTAGTCTGAGTTTGTTTCTGATACCCCCATTCCTGTTTCATGACTCTCATGTCTCTCTTCCCCACTACTTTAGGCCCTAATCTCTCTTCCTCACTCCCCAAAGGCCTTTTCAGGTGGCTGTAGGATGGGTTCTCAAAATGCAGTGGTTCCCAATTTTTTCACTACTATAGCTCTTTCCATTGTTTTTCCCTCATGGGTCTGACATTTTGAAACACTTTGCTAAATTCCATTTAGTAATAACTAATTCATGATTATTCTAATCTATAATAAGATACAAGTGCAGCTTAACCATGTCACCTCAGCAAGTGATAATATGTTACGAGCTGATAGAATTTCCCCCACTGTCAAAGAAATGTTGCTTTTGTTAGCAAGGAGTTAGGCAGAGGAAGTACAATTTCTATTACCATCTTTGAAATATTGAAAATAGCTTGCAAGACTGGAGGAATTCCAGACAACTGGGCAAAAACAAAGGACAGGTACAGTAGGCCATGTATTTACTTATAGAGAAGTTTTGTGATTATAAATATGTAAAAATATACATACATATATTGATAACAATATTAGGTGACTCCTGCATTGGACACTTTCATTATCCTCAAATCTTACCAGAACCCTGTAAAGTAGATATCATTACTCTCTCCCTTTCACCAGATGAGAAACCCAAATCAGAGTTTAGTAATTTTCTCCATCACACAGCTAACCAAGGACTGGATGGGATTCAAACTTGTCTGACTCCAAAGCTCAGGTCATCATGCCTCCTCAAGGGAATAGTTTTCTCATTAGGGAATAGACTGCAATGGGGAAGAAAAATTAAAAAAATAGTTTACACACAAAAAAGTTAATACTAGGGAAAAATGCAAGTCACCTATTTTAAAGAATAATCTCCAAACAGCTATTTAATAAACATATACCCATCTTTAATCATATGATGTTTTGTAGAAAGTTTATTGGTTTCATAATAGGCTTCATTTACATTTAGAGAGTGGTATAATGCATCCAGCAGCAAAATTAGATGGATTTCATTGGTCCCTAGATGTGGCTAGAGCCACAAGACTTTGTATTTCTAACTCTACCAAGAAACCTGTTCAGGTCCAAAATCAAAAGTAGAACAAGGTTGCTGTTTGTCCTTTTCCCAAGGATCAGCAGGAAGAGGAGCAGAAACGGAGAACTGGAAGCAATGCTCAGGAATCTTACATGGGTTCAGTATTTCACAGGATCCTCACTGAATCTTTTTTGTAAATTGAGATATATTTGACCTATAACCCTCAGTGAATCTTGTAAGCACAAAACCTTAGAATCCTCAAAACCATCTAGTTCAGCCATCCTGTTAAGCTAAATACTGGAAAAAGCTCTGCAACATACCAGTGAGGAGATCACAATGCCTCTGTTTGAATGCCTAAATAATGGGAAATTCATTCATTTACAAAGCTGCCTATTTCATCTACAGAATACTTTTGACTAATGGGGAGGTATTCATACTAAGCTGAAACTTTTCTCCCAACTTCCGTTCACTGATGCTGATTCCAAGATGTTAGACCCCTAAAACACTGCCTCCCCAACCAGGCTTTTCTATTCATATTACTTCTTGTTACTTTGCCCAGGACTTCGAATGTCCTTGTGACAATGGCTAAACTTATTGGAATGCCATGATGGGTTGGTCGGGATCACTAAAACCCAGTGATCAGGAGTGAGTGGTCCAAGCACTGCAAAACAGAGCAGCATATGAGATCTCCACCCTCTTCACTCCCACAGGGCCTGGTGGCAGTCCTCAGTGCTGAGCTTCATTCTGGCCTTCACTGTTGTCAGGACAGTGAGAGTTTGAAAGAGGCACTCTACAATTCTTCAGTCAACCTTGAGATCTAAGCCCTTGACCTCAGAAAGCTTTAGAAACCTTTTAGAAGAAGCATTCCTTCAATCATAAATAAGCATTAACATTTACACAATATGCTAAAACCATTCAACTGTTCCACATTCCCCAAACTCCAAGAGAACTTGACCATTCCACTACTTGGTCTGAAAGGCCTGCCAGAAAAAAATTCTGGCAAAGCTATTTAGGTCTTATGATCATGAGTGGAAATGGATCAAATGTAGATGAATTGTCTATCAGCCATATTCCATCTTCTCTCTAAATCTCGAATTCAGAACCTCCCTTTCACTTACAAGTCATTCTTCAACCATTCTGCTTCCCTTCTATCTCCACTATCTGAGAACATCTTGACTTCTCACTGGCATGCTATAGAGAGAGCCTCAAATGTAGGAAAGAACCAGAGATGGTGGAGATGCCACTGCCACAGGTATTTTGGACACTGTCAGTCAATCACAATGTAAAGCCATTTGTTCATGTTTGGTCCAAGCACTGCAAAACAGAGCAGCATATGAGATCTCCACCCTCTTCACTCCCACAGGGCCTGGTGGCAGTCCTCAGTGCTGAGCTTCATTCTGGCCTTCACTGTTGTCAGGACAGTGAGAGTTTGAAAGAGGCACTCTACAATTCTTCAGTCAACCTTGAGATCTAAGCCCTTGACCTCAGAAAGCTTTAGAAACCTTTTAGAAGAAGCATTCCTTCAATCATAAATAAGCATTAACATTTACACAATATGCTAAAACCATTCAACTGTTCCACATTCCCCAAACTCCAAGAGAACTTGACCATTCCACTACTTGGTCTGAAAGGCCTGCCAGAAAAAAATTCTGGCAAAGCTATTTAGGTCTTATGATCATGAGTGGAAATGGATCAAATGTAGATGAATTGTCTATCAGCCATATTCCATCTTCTCTCTAAATCTCGAATTCAGAACCTCCCTTTCACTTACAAGTCATTCTTCAACCATTCTGCTTCCCTTCTATCTCCACTATCTGAGAACATCTTGACTTCTCACTGGCATGCTATAGAGAGAGCCTCAAATGTAGGAAAGAACCAGAGATGGTGGAGATGCCACTGCCACAGGTATTTTGGACACTGTCAGTCAATCACAATGTAAAGCCATTTGTTCATGTTTAAGGTGATTGTAGAAAAGATCCTTGGCAGAAATGATTGTATGGAAGGAATTCTTGTTTCAAAATCTAACACATCTCCACAAAGTCTTCCTGATTAAAAGACTTTAGGTGCAAACAAAGTATCCATGCAATCCTAAAATACTATGTTCTGGATTTTTGTGTTGAAATGTGGTGAGATCCATTTAACGTAAGAACTCAGTAATAGTGTGGGTAGAGAAAACTCAATATCGGTATCCTATGTATTTGAGAAACTAATGTATGTTTGAAATTTTTCATTAATTACATTAAATTGGAAGAGGACCAAGGATTCCATGGTTTTTTTAATTGCAAAAAATCTATTCTCAATAATTCATAGTAAAATATGCTAAAGAAAAGTTTTAAAATGTCAAAATCAGAAAAAAGCAAGTAGAAAAAAAGAAGTAATGAGATTAGTAGTATATATGCTTGGCTTCAGAGAATTCTTATATACACAGTTGATTAAAACATTCTATATGAATTTTGTATACTTTGATAAAAAGGTTTCCAAAATAAAAGAAAGAATTAAACATTTATGACTGGAGTCAGTTGTAGTAAGGCATTGGATGTGAGTGGTTGATTGCTCTTTGTGCCTTCAAAATTCTGCAGAAAATTCTGTCTTCGTTTTAGTCCATCCAAAATGACTGAATTATTAGATGCCAGACTCTGTGTCCTAAAGATATTAAAAATAATGGAATTATCACCTTCAAAAGGAGCCTGGATTTCTAACCAAGGCATTAAACCTTCATTTGTTCCTTTGAAGCACAGTAACATTCATTAACATTAAGCTGCATTTATCAAATAAGCTAACCTTTAAAAATCTAACGCGCTCTTTACATTTTAAAGGCTTCACAATAGCATCTTAATTATTTGACATTAATATCTTAATTGACAGCTGCTTTCCAAGTAGTTTATATTTTCTGAACAACATCTTTTATCAGATCCAGTATCATGTTCTAGTCAGAAGCAAGTTTCCTTAAAAACTTTTCTATGTAACTAAAAGTGAACAGTATCTTCTTGTGGATTTTTATTTCTTTTTTGAAAAGTCATACAGAAGGGAAAAGCCAACACTATTTTTTATACTAACACTGTTCCTTTACTGGAGGCTGGAAGCTATGTTAGTCCTTTAACACATCTGCCTTACTTTAATCAAGGCGCATCGCTGTTTGGGCATTTTGCTTTTGACAGTCCCCTTTTCTCACCCTGCTTCTTCCCCATCACCTGCCCATTTCATTAAACTGTCTCAAAAATGTGTCCTCCAATATGTCTTTCCCCACACAGCCCCTCTTAATTCCACATTTTTTGGCAGTTAGGAAGAGTTCTTTGTTTATGCTTTGCTCTTGAGTTCAATTAGTCTGTTTATTGTTTGTTGTTCTGCTCAAATCAACTAAATTTTAAGTTTCCTATGGGTAGCAATATCTTACTCATCTTTGTCCCCCAATCCTTATAAAAATTATGGCACATAATTGATGTTCATATGCTATCTTCCCTTTTCCCTCTACATGTCTTTAATGATTAGCTATAACTCTTTCAAGAAAACCATATTACAAGCAATTTTTAAGAAATTAAACTTCTCAAGACTTTACAAATTTAAATTAACTGCATGTCAAGCACTAATTTCCCTTATCTGTTTTGAGTTTGTTTTTGCTCTTGCCAGGGAGAAAGGGAACCCATGGCTTCTTGGTTTAGACTACCAGTTTACTATGGAGACATGTTTTAATAGTTTAAATATGAATTAAACTATTGTTTCAAGCAGAAAAGGTCTGTTTCCCAATAAACATGTATTTTTTAAATTGAGACTTCTAGGAATTTAGCTTAAGTTACAAATCATCAGAAATGTCTGCAAACATTTATATGAAAAACAGTTCACTGAAGTTTGATTTATTTTAGCTAAAAACTGGGAAGAGTCTACATACCAAAGGAAAACAAATAATGGTTTTATAAATAATGGGGCCCACATAATAGAATACTAAACAGGCATTAAAAAGAATGAGCTAGAGCTATATGTATGATTGCAGGATATCCTTAAGTTGGGTGAAAAAAGAAAGCCACAGCTCAATATAATTTGCTGTTAAAAACTTAATTATAAATATGCAGGAAAAAGTTTGAAAGAATATACAGCAAACTGTTAACAATGTTTAGGTCATCTCTATGCAATGGGGATGGATAAGGTTAGAGAATGGAGACTTCTAGTTTTACTTCTTACCTTTCTGTATTGTTTCAAAGGAGGTACACAATTTTATATAATAAAAAAAGTAAAGACATATGCCAAATTTTAAGATGGCCTTTCAGAAAACTATTTCATAACATGAGGGGAAATGTTCATGATATAGTATTACATGAAAAACACCATGCAAAATAGTAACAACTGTGTAAGTCCAATAGACAAAATATAAAGATCAATATATTCAGACTGTGTCATACTAAATATAAAAGTATAAAAATATCTAAATAGTACGGTGATAAAAGATGTTTTCTAAAATACTTTTCAGTATTTCTCAAATATTCTATTATGACAATATTAGTTTTATAATCTGAAAATGTTACTTAAATTGGCATGGAAAATATTCATGGAAAGTAACTGCATCACTTTCTCAACCTGTGTAGAACAGGAATATAAGTGAAATGTCCAACACTCAGTTCAAAAAGTAGTTGGTTGATAGCAATAATAACTATTTCTAGAAATAATTCAAGATTTAGTAGTGGTGGAATGGCCAAATTCTGGTTCATGTTTAAAATGAACTCTATCCTATTGTATAAGAGATTTCATTTTAACTTTGATACAGTTTCTTCAGTAAAGGTTGGCAGAATTGTATTAGAAAAAGTTTATTCAGGAATCTCCCATTAGGTAACTCAATATGCTCTTGATTTTAGTAATTCCTGTGGGATAGGGTCTAATCAAATGCTTTTATACGCACTTACCGTGGTGAATCTATTCCACTATCTCCTGCCATGCTATTATTTTCTGTTCCTTCCAAGTGACTGTGTTCATGTTGTATATTCTGAATCAGTCCTGGCATATGTGAAGTGTTAAAAAGTTCTAACTTTTGTGAGAATGGTTTCCTCATTTCCTGATTCTGTGTACTCTGACTCCAGCTAGCGGGTTTCTTTTCTGTGTCATCAACCGAGTCTTGTAGAGTTTCAGCCTCTGAATTGCCTTTCCTTGTGCTACAGTAATCAAATATACTTCCGCCAACAGACGCTGAAGCCTGGACATGTTCAGCAACATCGAGTTCCTGTTCACAGTTAAAACCAGACCCGGTCCCTGAACTGAGGCCACAGCTGTCAGCAGAGAGATTAGGTTTTTGGCTTTCCCTTCGGTTAGTGAGCAACCCAGTGGGTTTGTAACCTTCATTTCCCTTAACCACCTGAGGCTCAAACCTATGTATTTCACTGTTGTACTCAGTCAGAGACCTTTCAGTCACCTTTTGTTTCCCTAAATGATTCCACTTGTTTCCCCCTGTAAAGGAATGCTGAATGTGGCCAGGCAGCATTGGACAGAAGTCATCATTCTCAGTGAAGTCCTCCTCATCTAGATATAATGAACTGCAGGCACCATCATTCTCATCCACTTCATTCTGATATAAGGCCTGGTCATCGTCAGAAAGGCCTTCATTCTGTAGACTCTCAGTCTCTGCTTCCCAGACAAAAGCCTTTCTCATTAGTGTTTCTTCTGAGTCTCTATCTTGTCTCTCAGGTTGTCTCAAACGGTTCACACCAACTGGGTAATCCAAAAGACCAAGATTTTGGAACTGCTGCATTGTTTTATCAACTAATCTGTAAGCAGAGGATGCTTGCTCTAAAGAGGAGGAATCTTGTGACGGCAGAACATGCTGTGTTTCATTTGTTTCCCCTAAAGTGTCCGAGTGAGAATAACTTTCCCTCAAGACTTCAGGGATTACCTCATTTTCTCCACCATACACATCAGATCTCAACATGCGTTCTCTAAAGGAACAGCATTTACTATCATTTTGCAAAACAGTACATTGCGAATAATTGAAGAGGTGATCTCTAAAGTCATCACTTTTGGGTTTGACAGCAGAGTTATTCATATTTATGGATTTTGTACTCAGTTTATCACTATATTGTTCAGCATATGGCTGTTTGGCTTCACTCTCAAAGATTCTTGAGGAATCCAAAGATCTCGACCTTTGGAAAGGCTTTCCCTTTGGTCCAATCTGATTGGGTTTCAGATCACTGGGCTTTAAGTTGTTGTGCCCTTTGGTTATTGGGCCCCCTCGGTGAGACAATCCCTGGAAAGGATTACTGATTCGCTTTTTGTAAATCAAATGGGAACCAAGCACTGATGGATTCTCACCAAGTGGTTTCTGAACTACTGCTTTATTTGACCTTTTAATTCTGGGGGAGGGCTGTGTAGCAGGGAGCTTGGGGTGTTTCTCCAGTTTAATGCTTCCTGCCTGGGGCTCACTTCCCTGACTTGTAGTTTTTTGTCTATCTCTGTGAGAATGGCACCGCATTTGAGGCTTTGCAGACCGGCCCCGCCTTTTCTTAACTCCCTCTTTTAAAGGATATTTATGTCTGACTTTCAGCATATCAGTGGAAGTGCCTTGACTATTATATTTTTTCTGTTCTTCATATTTTTGCATTAGGACTGTATGTTTGATTAAATTGTCAACAGTCAGAATGGGATTAATTCGTCTGATTATCTCATGTTCAATGTCTCGAGGGATATTGTCCAAATTATCTTCATCTCGGACAGGCCATTCTTCTGGTGGGAATTGAGCAGAAAAGCTCCTATGCTCTGTTCTGGACTTCTCCTTTCTGGATATACTGCGCCAGAAGAGGCTAAAGCCAAACTTCCTGCATTTTTCTCTCTCTTTTGTGTATGATAAAGGTTTGGTGCTCTCAAATACACGATTCTGCTCAGACACCGAAACCGCTTGATTCTGTACTAAGGATCTGGATCCCCCAAGACCTTTCTGGCCTTTTCTACTCACTTCTGCAGCATCTGGTGGTTTCTGCACAACCTGAGTGCACACAGCAGGGAAACACTGGCAAGACTGACAATGGGAAATGGAGGCAGCATTTTCTTTGGCTAACTCTGCACAGCTCTCCATGCTCACCAGACATGTAATGCAAGTTGGCACCAGGTGACTTTCATCTAATAGGACTCTCTTATTTTCTTGGGGGTTTGTATTTGTGATGAAGTAAGTCTGAGGAGTAACTATGAAGTATCCTTCTCCAGTGTGATAAATCTTTCTTTCTTTAATCAGAGTTCCCAGAGTGGTATAGAGAATATCTTGAGATGGAACTGCAATGCCTAAAATAAACAAATATTTTACACTGATAGATTTTTAAATAAGAAACATTTTAACAAGTGAAATCAGTACCTCAGAAATGACCACACATTTGCTTGATCAACTCAGAGCTAACTGTAATATAATTAATATATGTAGTTAAAATGCCAAAGAAACATTAATAATAATCATAATTTAACTGAACAATGGGAATATAATTTGGTCTACACAAAGATATATACCTAGATTAATGGTAAAGTAGAGAAAAAATACCTGAGTTCACTCAAATTCAAACACTAAGTTATATAACCCCACTATATATAAATTTAGATTTTGATTTAAGGAAATATGGGAATTTTGAAAACCAGTCTCATACCATAAATCCCAATGGGAATCTAAAGAGAAATGAAAAACAGTCTGTGCTTGGATAAGAGCAAACTAACATCTGGATTATGGTGTTTTTCAAACTAGGAAAGTAACAAAAAATTTAAAAAGAAACTCCCTTTGCCAAATAGGTGGTTCAAAATTATACTGTGAAAACAATGTTAAAAAATGTTTGTAGATAACAATATGAACAAAACAGCAGTAGACTCAAAGACACTGAGATGAGACTAGTGATTACCATGGGGGAGGGGCTAAGGTGGGTGTGAGTGGATGGGGAGGGGGAGAGGGATAAGGGGGCACAAAAATTCTCGATCATAATATAAGTTGGTCATAGGGATAGTAGTACAGCATGGAGAATAGAGCCAATGATTCTGTAACATCTTCCTATGTTGACAGATAGTAACTGCACTACTGGCAGTGAGAATTTAATAATACAGGTAACTGGCTCAGTACTGTGTTATATACTTGAAACCAATAAAAGATTATATATCACTGATACTTCAATAAAGAAAAGTTTGTGTATCAGTGGAAGAAAATTGATCAATATGTTAACACTGGTTTCCTTTTCTGTATTTTCTGAGTTTTTCACAAGCATACTCATTTTATAATGAGAAACATAAAAAATACTCTTCTACATTCATGCATTGGGATATGCAGCTATGAAAAGAATGAAATAGATCAATATATGCTAATATGGAAAAATCTCCAAAATATCTTTTTAAGTTAAAAAAGGAAATGTTTGGAGAAAATATATTGAAAGATACAATTTATATTATAAAAAAGGATACACATACTCAACTACAACTTATTTATATTTGAAACACATAAGAAGCTATAAACAATAGATGTCACCTCTGAGCAGTGACAACGAAAGGAGGTGGGGGACAAGATGAACTTTTCCTTTTTTGCTTTGTACTCCTTTCTACAGAGTCTGATTTATGTATTGCCATAAGCATTATTTTTGAAAAAGTTCATCTATAAAGTAAAGAAATAACCTTATCAGATTTGTTCATGCAGGCTTTTTCCTGTAAGGATTCTAATATGAGGTTTGACAATAGAAAAAAAAATTGGGTGTCACCCACTTTATGTGTTCAAGATGATTTATAAAAAGAAACCAAACACATGCAATGAACTAAAAGAGAAAAACTTGTTACTCTACCTGGGTAATGTTTCACCAAATGCTCCAATAGTGATTCCTGTGTTACCACAGTCTGCGTGGCATTCATATCAGATATGGCACAGCAAAGAACTTCAGCCAAGGGTATAAACTGAGACTGAGTTATTAGATTCATTTGTACTGGAAAGACATCACCTAAATTAGAGATGAATAAAAAAAGGAAGGGTGATAAATTTGATATAGCATAAAATATTTGGAATTATTGAATCAGGAATAGTTAAAAAGACTGAATAGCAGGTGTAATTGCTATTCTTTCATCAGTCTTTACCCAGAATCTGTTAATATGATATGCACAATAATGGAAACTATGGACGAAAAAGGTTTAGGTTATAGTCCCTACTTTTTAAATAAGATAGTAAGTTTTCATACAAAAGGTACATAGTATCAAAGTTCAGGTCAGAGGATGTTTATATGGCAATTCACATCTTTCAGAGGACTTTTTGTATTATCTATCTGAGACAGGCAAGGATGGGATTATTACCTCTTTATTTAGAATATATAAAGCCATAGAAAGCTCAAGTAATTATCCTAAGGCTTAAAAGCAAGTAAAGTGACAGAAATAGATCTTCTGACTCCTAATCCAACATTTCATTTCCATCATTCCACACTTTCCTGATTAGAATGATTAGGAAGATTTGAAGGAAAGGGCAGAAGTGTTTTCCAATTATCAAGAATACACAGAGCAAAACCATGGAAGGAGGAAAGCGCAAGGTATTTAAAAGCATGGATAGAGATAACCTGGGTAGACAGAGTTTAAGGGTTATATCAGAATGAAGTGGAAGATAAGGCTGTAAAGGTAAACTAGATCATATTGTCTTTCCTCCTTACCAACATTATTAAACATTCTTCTTAATATGCCATTCATTCCTCAGGTTAAATTTTAGATACTGCTGAATATCCAAGGGAACCCCTTAATTAATTGGAAATGAAAGACTAGGACTGAGGAAAGAGATTTGGGAATCAACTAATAATGATGAGATCTGAAGCTAAGGAGTGGAATATATTCTTTCATAGAGTAAAGAGTCAAGGAACACCTGATGAAGGGACTATCTACATTTAAGGGATAGTAGAAATAGGAAACCACCAAAGACAGAAGGCACAGTAATAAGGGTAAGAGAGAGAGAACCAAGAATATGAGGGGAAAAAAGGCTTCAAAGTGCATAGGAAATCAACAGTGTCAAATGCTTCAACAAGACTGAAAAGGTTGAGGGAGGAGGAAAACAGGCCACACTGGTTTCTTGATTGGAAGCTGACCACTGGTGACTTTCAAGAGAACTGTTGCCATAGAAAAGAACAAAAATGTCATGTTGAAAGGGATTGGGTCAGTAAAAGTGAGGTTAGTGGATTTCTTTTAAGAACAGGATTTCTCAGCTTGCCACCCTTGACATTTTTGGGCCAGATACAGGGTGACCAACCACCGAAGTGTAGCTCCACAGGGGAAGGGTGTTCCTGGCCTGGGGCAAGTCCCCCACCATGAAACCTGTGCAACTGAAATAAGTCAAGGGAAAGGCTAGGTTGGGAGAAAGGCTTTTATTTCTTATAATCGCAGGAGTTCGCTACCCAGGCCCAGCCCATCCATCTCCTCTGGCTCTGGCTCATGCTCCTTAGCCACACTGCGATCTCTACTTCTCACCAGCCCCTTCTGGGAGAAACTCCATGGGTGGGTCCTTGGTGACTGGCAGATGCCAGGCCAATTATGTACCAGGAACAAAGGGGAAGAGAGAATGGCCATTTTCTCTCCACCCCTTGCCCCAGAGGCCGCAGTGGTTAACACCTATTGATATGTAAATAGACTAAGGCCAGGCAGAACACTCTGGAAATTTTGCCATTTACCTCATACCAAGTACGCCCAGGACTAAAGGGTTTTCTGGGACATAGGATTTTCAGTGCTATAACTGAGAAAGCTTAAGTCAAACCATGATGTTTGGTCTGGTTTGGTAGCCAGATAATTATCTGTTGTGCAGGGCTGTCCTGTGCACTGTAGGATGTTCAGCAGCATCTTTGGTCTCTACCCACTTCTAAAGGCCAGTAGCATCTCCCACAGTTGCAGCAACCAAAGTCCAGGTATTGTCAAATGCCCCTGGAAGTGGGGATGGGGGGCAAAACTGTCCCACTTATAAACCACTGTTCCAGAACATTTGTTGCAAATATATATATATATATATATATATAGGATTTATATATATATATATATATATATAGGATTGTGAAAGAGGAGTAATGGAACACAACCAGAAAGGAGTAGAATCAAGTGAATATCAATGTTATTGTTGTGATTTTCTTAAAAGAAAATCTCTGCACATTTAGATGTAAGGACAGGTTTTAATGGAGATGATGGATAAAATAATGCATAAAAGGTACAAAAGAGCTTAGAAATGAAGATATTACTTCATCTGAAACTTGAGAAAAGCATAGAGGGTAGCAGAAGACTAGAAATAATACTGAGGCACAGAAGGAAGTATTAGCACAACAAGGTCAAGGTCATCTGATCTCTGTAAACTGAGAGAGGGGATAGGAATGTAAGGAGAAAACAGTGGGAATGAAGTGATGAAGGGTGGAAGGGGGTTTGAGGAGCTATTCTTGGAATATAATAGTAAATAATAAATATGAATATTATGAAAGAGCCCTGAGTCTCAAGGTGATTTAAGTGTGGTTTCTGGCAGATGAAGTAGCAATCTGGAATAGAAAAGGATGAGAGCCAGGGAAGCCAGCAGTGCTTCTACAACTTTAATGTGCATATGAGAATCCCCAGGGGATTTTGCTAATGTGCAGATGCTGATCCAGAAGGTCTGAAGTGGAGTCTATGGTTCTGCCTTTCTAACAACCTCCCAGGTGATGTCTACACTGCATGTCTGGTGGAGTGGCAGAGGGTTAGGATGTTCATGATAGCAGTGTTAAACTAGTCAACCATTCAACAAACAAATGTGCCCCCAGAGTCCACGGCAGGCAGAAATAATTCAAACAACTGAGAAAACTTGGCTATACCCTGTGGTGGGGGCTCTCCCAGTGACATGGGAAAGCCAGTACATCACACTGATTGTTGAGGGGAAGAAAAGTAGTGAGGATTGGCAAGGTGTGAAGGGGTGCAGCCAAAGCTGGTAAGTGGCCCACAGTACTTACTGTAAGCATGGAGATAAAGCACTTTAATAAGGAAATTGATAGCAGGCTGCTGTTATACATCACACTGGGCTGTTTCCTTGTTTACTTAAGCATCTCTGTCTGGCAGGTGGGGGCATCTCTGACCTTGGAAGGCGACAACACAGGGCAGAATTGCTGTCTGCTTCAGCAGCCCAGGGAAGGGTCTCCTCTTGCTGTGCTTGTGGCTATCCCACTGGGTGACACTGGGATACCTATAGCATTCCGAGAAGCTAGGATGAGTAGCTAATCAATTAGCATCTCAAAGGGCAGTGATAAGACACGATGTTAAGAAAATTATTGTCCAAGTGAGCCATTAACTGACCTAAAACTCAAAATCCTCTGAGAAACTCTACCTCTGAGCCTAGGGTAATAAGCCTGCCTCCCTATCTTCAGTCCCTCTTTGCCTTTCTTTTTTTACCTCTGCAGCTGAGGTTTACTTTCTTCTGTTTCATCTCGCTCCTCAAACAGACAAAATAAAGAATTAAAGTGCAATTTCAAATATTTTTATGCTTCTTTAACATAATTTATGTGCTTAATTTAAAATAAATGACTTAAAACTTTTATATATCTCTCTTCCTCATCTCGAAAACAGTCTAAGTGCCTTTTTTCTTCTGTGTGATCTTAAATTGATTACCTGCCCCCACTTCATGTGGAAAGGAAGTCCTTTATTCAAAGAGGCGAGAGAAGGTCTCTCCTGAAGATAAGGACTAGAGTATTAGGGAAGTAGAGGGCAAAACCTAAAAAGGCTTTGCTCAACCACATAATAGATGTCCAACCCTCATCTCACCCCTACCCTAAACCCAGTCACCTTGAGGTGAGGGGGAAGGAGGAGACATTAAAAGGAACGAGTGGCTAGAAAGTCAGCTCCTGTCCGGTGACCCTGCTGCACCCCCTGCCTGCCAGTGGCCACCCATTTTTGTGCAAATAAAACAAAGAAGTGGTACTGGGTCCCAGGACTCATCTCCACTATGCCTTTGGGCTAGACATGAAGCAGCCCATTTTCTAGCTCAGTCCTTAAGCTTGTTTCCTCTTTTCATAGGAAAACTAATAGTCAAAATAGATTTTTCATGGGGCTGGGGGTAGAGGTACATGGGATGTTCCTATATATTTCTTGTCAATCTCCTGTATATCTATAATTAGTTCAAAATAAAAGTTTAAAAGTAGATTTTTCAGAAAGCACTACTTTTAGTTAACAAGCAGAAATGTATGAGAAACAGAACATTCTTCTTACATTTAAAAAATCCCAAACACTTTTTTAAAAGAATCCTTGGCAAAATCCAAAGATTTTGCTTGTCAAATCCAAAGATGCTCTTAGAAATTTTATTCCTAATTCCTACTATGGTATGAGGATGTGCATTGTCAAAGAGTAAACATATCTACAACCAACTAGGAAGACAAATCACCTTTTTTCTCCTTAAAGTTAATGAAACTATGTCAACATCATTTTACAGCACATTTTAAATTGCATTTAACCTCTGCTTTGGCGCTCCCTCTAGACAAAGCCAAGAGAAAATTTCTCAGTACATTTCCTTCACAAATTTTGCTAAAATACACCTTCAGGTGTGTAACTTGGAGAAGAGGGGTGGGGGCAGGGGGAAATAAATTCCCATCCTGGAGCAAATTACCTTTAAAGCCAAAATCAGTTAAAGAGAGAAATAAAGTGGGAGAAACCCATTTACTGCTTATAAGCAGTTGTCCACTTCTGCTTGCCCATGTCTCTTATATCCCAGCTACAAAATAAGGGACACCACTAAACATCACCAGTCCAGATATGCCCTCGCTCCCATTACACTTGTAATCACCTATTAATATGGAGATGGATACTTCTCTCCACCCCTATTGATATGGAGATGCACCAAGGCCGGGAGAGAGATTCTGGCAATACTGCAATTTTACCCACAAGGTGCATAAATCAAGAGATTTTTGGTGCCAGAAAGCAGAGTGTACCCCAACATATGATAGATGCAGGAGTCATTTTCAAGCTACAGCCACTTTTT